GTTGCAGTGACAGCAGATCAGGAGTCCTTCGCGTGCTGGAGGCTAAGTAGTCCTCAGACCCCAGCACAGGTACAATCCAGGCCCACAAGACGTTCAACTGTTCAACTTGCATAATCGTGATGTTCGCCCCAGATGCTCGTACATCGAAATGTTTGTGTTTCGGCACTCATCCCAAAAGGCCCGGGAGCCCAGCACTCAGTGAAGGCGATCCTCGCGATCTTTACTTACATCTTCTTCGGCTGCGCCATGTTTTGCTACCAGCTGGAGATACACATCAGCAACACAGGCCGGAGAAAGGATCTTTCAAAGGTTAGAAGTATGGGCCCCTAAGATGGACCCCTAGGCCGTTCCAGGGGCCCTTAAGGGTACATAAGGTAGGGGCCCTTAAGGGTACATAAGGTAGGGGCCCTTAAGGGTACATAAGGTATATAGTAGGTATATAAGGATCCCAGGGTTAAGGGGCCATACTAGGGGATAATGGCTTCAACCTTAGAATGTTGGCCAGGGTCTACTCAACAAGCCCCCTGGTTTTGAAGGCCCCGTTGTGTTTCGGAAGCTCCCTAAACCCCAAAACGTAAGCCCCTAAACCCTAAGACCCTAAGACTCCAGCGCATGGAAAAAGGTGCTCAAAAAAAGCCCCGAACCCTAAACCCTTAACCCCAAACGCCAAACCCTAAACCCTAAACCCCAAACCCTGAACCCCAAACCCTGAACCCCTGAAGCCCTAAACCTTGGAGGCTTCAAGTTCCCGATCCGTGGGCGCAAGATCGCCATTGAGGAGCGAGCTGAAAGCGGGCGCCAGCTGTGGGGATTAGGGTTTGGGGATTAGGGTTCAGGTTTCGTGTTTAGGGTTTAGGGATTAGGGTTTAGGGAGTTTAGAGATTAGGGATTAGGACGATTAGGGTTTAGGGTTCAGGTTCAAAGTCAAGGGGTTGCGTGGGCATCTTTTTTTTGCCTGGAGGTTTGGGGTCGAGGAGCACAGGGGCTTGGCACTTGATGCTTCTGATCCCGGGTTCCGGGGTTTCAATTAACTAGGAGACTTGGGGTGTTTCAGGGTTTCAGGTGGCGGTCGCGCAACACGTATCAGATAAGTGTATGAATATGTCTGAATAATACTTGGTAGTACAGTTGAACAGGCGAATAGGCAGTCCCTCTATAGCTGGATTAGAGGATACCCTGGTGATACCCTAGAATCCTATAACCCGATTCTGATTGTTTGAGCTCCTGTATAGTCGCTTCTCAGCGTTTGCGGCCCGCAGTTTTACTTGGTGCTGCAAGCAGTCGGAGTTCACAGAAGCGTTGGCTCACTGGAGCCAGAAGAGCTGCACCGTCGGGAGCCCATGTTTGGTACACAGACCAATATTTGACTTCGTCTCGGAGGTTCAATATAGGGGCCGTAATAATTAGAATAGGGTTCAGAGGCCCATTCTGCCATACTTATAACAAGGAACCCCAGAATAGTAATGGTAATGATCTAGGCCCCTACAGTAGGGCCAGGCCCTTTAATTGAATTGGCCCGTATCCTCTGCGACTTGCGGCGGCGCTCACTTCCCAGTTCTTGCGGGTCTTGCCGGGAAAGGGTAGAGTCGAGGCACTAGCTACTGTTGGCCTTTGGGACAGGCTTTTAGGTGCCCCCGAGGCCCTATTCTAATTCTTAAGGTCGGGTTCCTTGTTACAATCGTAGTAGAGTATACCCCCCAAGCCCTATTCTAGTTATTGAGGCCCCTATATTTTCCTTCCGAGCCGGCGCAGGACGTCTCCTCCAAGCCATCTTCTCTTGAGGAGCCCGGTTCAGCTAGCCATGGGGCACCGTTACGCGTGCCGAAGAAGACAGGGTTTTCCGAGTCAGACTTTGGACGAATCTTCTTCGAAGATCTTGGCTTTGTGACTTCCGGTAGGTGTTATGAAGCTTCACTTCTGCCTCAGAGTCCGCAGGACGAGAAGCACGTCATCGTTACAACTGTCGGTGAGCACAAGCTGTCCAAGAGCGACTTGTTAGAAGCCTAGCACCTCACCCTAAACCCTTAACCCCAAGGACAGTAAGGGCGAGTAGAACAAGAAAGCCCCAGAGATCTTAAAACAGCTCCACGACCCAAAGCCTTGCTCTTACACTTCAAATGCCTCAAGTTAACCTCAGCGAGCTCTACACCCCCAAAACCCCAAGCCTTAAACCCTGAACGCCAGCATCCCAAGGACTCGGTACCATTCCAATCATGTTCCGCCGGACGGATCTCTTTGGCATGGAGAAGCCGCTGGGATGCACCCTGGGAGTTTGGTTCGCGGCCAGCACAGGACAACACCGAACCCCACTCTATCATCAGCCTGATGTCGCATACGTCACATGTATGTCATATTTATGTGTGCACGGTATATCTTATTATGTTGTACATGCTGGCTCCATCCTACAGGTAGTGCAACGCAGCAGAACAGCCATAGTCTCGCAGTCGCGCCCGACAGCCATGTGAGAGATTGGAGCCTCGGGGTGGGCAGCCCCCGAAGTCCCAATGCCTTTGTCATCGCTGGTTCATTTTCCTGAACCCAATACAGTTGCAGGGGCCTAGATGCTTAGCTATACTATTTTTTGGGAGTTCCTTATTATGACTACCGTGTACTATACCCCAAAGCCCTATTCTACTGATGAAGGGCCCCTTTTCCACTGAAATTCCCAACCCAACACAAGGCCCGGTGCTCTCAAAGAGGCCCGACGCACCCTTGAGCCCAGGGGAGCATTTCAGCCCTAAACCCTAAACCCTAAACCCAAAACCCAAAACCCTCAACCCTTAACCCTTAACCCTTAACCCTTAACCCTAAACCCTAAACCCTTAACCCTTAACCCTTAACCCTAAACCCTAAACCCTAAACCTAAACACACTGCTTCCAAGGGGCGCCCACGGAGAGGACCTCTGGTTCCGGCCTGAGCTTTTTTTTTTAAGTAGGGGTTTGGGCTGTCGGAGTTCCGTAAAAACCTACTTGGAGGATCATGGGACTTAGTAAGTAAGGTTATAAGTCCCTTAATTGGGGTTATAAGTATAGTTACCTTACTTATAACCCTTAGGGTTACTAAGTCCCATGATCCTTTAAGTAGGGCCTAAACCCCAGAGCCCCTAGGCCCCTAGGCCTTAAGGAGGGAAGACGGGCGGGTCGCGAGGTTTCGGCTGAAGTACCACTCCAAGCGGAGCTTCCAGCTGCTCTCGCTCTCCGGGGAGCCGGTGGTGAGGGAGAGCCGGGGACCCCGGGAGTTGATTAGGGTTTAGGGTTTAGGGTTTAGGGTTTAGGGTTTAGGGTTTAGGGTTTAGGGTTTAGGGAACTCTGCAGCCTTGAGCCTAGGACAGGAAAGTAGTTCTGGCAACCCTGAGATGCTGCAGTCTTACCACCATTCTTGTTAGTTTTAGGGGCTCCTCCCTAATCCGTGGTTGAAGGTGTTTCGAGGTCGCTCTGATGGCTCGTGGGTAAGGAGGAGTGAGGGAATCGCAAGCTCTGACCGCACACCGAGTGGTGGAAAGATGCTTGATCACAGCATGTCGCGCTTGACCTCTGTTCGGTATTTTGCATGCACGACCAGCCTAAACCCCTAAACCCTAAACCCTAAAACCCTGCCGAAAACCCTTCAGCACAGGCGCTGAGACCTCACACGGCTGGATCATTCTGAGCGCTCATCGCTCACTGCTCCACAGCAACACCTGGTTCGGCATACCAGGCCGGGGGATTGGGCTGATGTTGAGTGTTCCGATTGAAGTGTCTGGAGGATTTTTAGAAGCCCTGGCGCCGGAGTGTGGGGCCTACGGAGGGAACTGGGGGTTGATGTATCGGAGTCGGAGGATTTTTGGGGCTGCTTCTGGGATCCTGCTGGGATCGGGGTTCAGGGCACCCCTCCGCAGACGCCGGCGGCAGCTCTTAGAGGCAGAAGTTCGAAGTCGCGCTGTCGTTTCTCTTGTGATGCACCCTTCGCAACCCAATAGCCTGAACCCGGAAATACCCTCAATACCTAAACCCGGACCCTACAATCCAAGCCCTAAAAAAGAGCCCTAAACCCCCAAGCCACTGCGCAGTTGTCTGCATCGGCTCTCTGCTGATCATCTGCGGCATTCCGCTGCTCCTCTACTCCTCTGCAGCCCGGAAGCAGCCTCGTCCCCAAGAGGGCCGGGGCCTCTTTCGTTTTTTTTCTTCATCTTTTGCAACGGTTGTGCTGTTGTTTAGGATTTAAGGCTTGGCGGGTGTTACACTGTTTTACGGGAGTTTGCAGGATTTTTAGGCTTCAAGGTCTGTTTTCAGATCCAAGGACCGTCTACGCATCCCCATCGACGGTGGTGTGGTGCTAGCAGCGGCCTCAAGAACCTCTCGTGCCCGAAACAGTATTATGGGGTTTAGGATTTAGGTAAAACAAAACTCAACAGTTTGTTTGAATCGTTATCAACGTCGAACCACAACGACAAACGTCAATAACATGCAATCCAATAGTGTGACATTCGAGAATGAACCTAATGTATTGGCATTTACGTTGATTAGATTTAACAAACTATTTGCACTTGGGTGATCTGTGTAGAACTAGAAACACTTTTTCAATCAGTTGCCATCGACAACGAAAATGTCTCGATACCTACTCAATAGCCTGTTTGCTGTTGTGTTTTTTTTGATATTGTTGGCCTGGGATGAGAGAACAATGCAAGATATGCGCCAACTCGCGACAGAGGGAAGTAGGCCAGGTAGGCTCTCAGAGCGCTCAGGTCACCTGGCTGATCACCGCCGTCTTGGCCTTTGGTGGGTTTCCTGGCCCAAGAATTAAGAGACGTCCCCAAGACTCTGGCAACACGGCCTGGATCTCCAGCTAGCCGACTGCTTTCATAACTACAAGGGTAGTTCTCTAAATAAAGGGTCCCGTTTTAGGTCCCCCAAATAGTACGGCACCCTCATAAAAGCACCCCTAAAAGGGACCCTAATTTAGAGAACTACCCACAAAAAATTCTGACACTCCGTCACCGTGATCATTCCCAAGGTCGCAGATGATAAAGTCGGCGCAGACTACGAGGAATACGATCTCTGACAAGATCGATCGCTTCAAGAGCAGCACGGCCGGTTTTGTGTTGCTAAGCCTTGCCTTCAAGAAGCCCTCATCTCAACTCGAAGACGTTTCGAAGTAACTCGTTTTGGATTTAGGAGACCCTGAACAATGTGCCAGCTGCCTACTACGACCCAACATCCTAGTTTGAGTGGACTGACTGCGCAGAAGCAGCTTCATCTTATCGCTTGGAGCCGAAGGCAAGGTGTACCGTGTGAACCCGACGCCGCATGCCTGCAAGCGGGGCGCCGGCAGAGCCCTGAACATCAGCCAGATCGTGGATTTGCCGCTTGGCCCCAGCCCAGGGGTGTCCGCCATGCCATGACTATGACGACTCTGAAGATGAAGACGAAGACCATGAAGATGAAGAGCTATATGAAGAAGAAGAATAGTATTATGATGGTTATGATGATGATGTTGATGATGATAGTGATGATGACTGTGCTGATGATGATGGTGTTGTTGATGGTGATGATGATTGATGATCTGGCATCATCTCTGCTGTAGTGGCAGCAACTCTCATCGTTTGCCACCCGCATATGAGTCTGGTTGTAGATGTTCGTACTCGCTGAGGCGCTCTACTGGTAGCATCTTGTTGCTCAGGCTTGGTTGTCATGTCACGAACCCCGAGGTACGAGGAGTTCAAGTCGTTCATCCAGGACCGGTCTTGCTGCAACAGGTACCCTAAATTTCCTAGAGCCTAAATCCGACGGTGAACCCTGAACCCTAAGCAATCATAAGCCTTGAATCGGTAACGCTGCATTCCCAAGGCTTCGGCGGCAACAGCAGTATCAGAAGTATGAGCATGGAATAAGGCTCTGAGATGTTTCAGGCATGATCGAACCCGTTTGGCAAGAATGTTTCCCGAGCTTTCACGAGGACAGGAACCTGTACTACGTGGACAGCAACATCGTGCGGCCGCTGACAAAGCGCCTGGGTGATGGCCCAGTTGGTGTTTTGCCGCGAGGGCTCCGTAGAGGGCTGGCTGAGGGATGATAGGGCAGCATGCGTACAATCCACTGTGGTCTTTTCGCTCCATTGATTGTTGGGTTCAATACTCCCGGGTTCCTGTTCCTCAAAGGAACCCTTCTGAAATACCAGTTGATACTGTCAATTCTTCTTATATTCCACTCAAGTATATAAAGCCATCCATCTTTGTGCAGCTCTTATGGCAAATATCTGACCTGGAAAATGATTCTTAGTTTTCAGTTTCTAGTACTACAGCCATCAGATTTTAGCAGAATTTCAATCGCAGGCGGGGCCGGGGCACCTAAGGCCCCATGGAGTCCGAACGCTTCGGGGTTCGGGAGGTGTCGGCAGACGTGAAGCCCCAACATAGTGTCGGGGGCCTTAAAAATATTAGAACTTTGCCTGGGGGTAGACTAGACTATAATTTTCTTAAATAAGGAGCCCCCCCCAAATAGGATAGGTAATGATTAAGGCCCCGACATCACTACTACTTCAAAGCCCCGAAGCCCCAAACGCTGAGTCCTAAATCCGAAAACCCCTGCTGCCCAAGCAGCACTGTGAGTCCTGGAATCAAATGTCGCTAGACATAAACCCTTACAGTGACCCTGATAGTTCACCCTAAACCCTGAACCCTATCCTAACCTCTAAACCCTAAGCCCCCAAACCCTAACCTAAGCCCTAAACCCTCAAACCCCAAACCCGCAGCGCTATCCCGGAACTGGGCTTCTCCGCTCTGACGCTGAGGAGCTGCCATCTCAGCCTCGCAGAGTTTATGGGGCCTTCCACCGTGGACTGGCCGCTCGCTTCTCTTGTCTTTGGCGGCTTTGCAGGGATGCTGTTTCGGGTTTAGGGGTAAGGTTAGGGTTTAGGGGTTAGGGTTTAGGGTTTAGGGTTTAGGGTTTAGGGTGAGGGTTTGCAAAGGGGTTATGGGGGGTCTTTTAAGGGGTGTTTAGCTGGGTTCGGTGGCAGTTGGAAGTTGTCACTAGGTCACTAGGTATGTCTAGGTTACAGAAGTGCAAACGTACTCGGAGTCGGAGTAGGGTCTGTGAGTCTATTCGGCTGGAGCCACTTCTAGCCGTATGAACGGGGACTTAATGCAACTAACGGTTGGGGCCCCTATGCGGGTTGGGGAGCTCCGCGTGGGGCAGATCTGGAGGTCGATTGGTTCAAAGTCTACGAGTTTTGTGATACGCTTGTGAGATCTTGATTCAGGAAGTTCAGGAAGTCCAGCGACGGACAGGTTTGGCATAGCGGGCTTGCCGTTGTTATCATCTTCTCGTCATTGTTTCTTTGCTCTGGCGAAGCTTTCAGTGATTGCTCGTCTAGCGCCGTTTTGTTGTATGCTGCTACAGTGCGTCGTGGGTGATGACAGTTGTCACCAGCAGTGCCGTGGTGAAATCCTAAACCCTAAACAAACCCTAAACCCAACACCCTAAACCCTAAACCCTAAACCTTAACCGTTCTTCCGAGGGTGCCGGGGTATCCTGTTAGCTGCTAAGCTCGAGATAGATGGATCTGGGACTGAGACCTGCATCCTTTATGCTTGCGAAATCTTCGTCCTGCATCGTCCTGAGGTGAAGAGCCCAGGAGATGCTAAACCCCAAAACCCTGAACCTCGAAACCCCAAAACCACGAGCCTAGATCCAAAAGACGTAAAGAGTGATAAGTGTCAGACTGCTAGCCCGCACAGCTCCTTCTGTTTCATCGCAAGGTTTGTGTCCCACTACTGGGGCACCAACTTCTCCTACACTGTCAGAGCCTTGAAGCTCCACGCCAACTCCGTCCCCAGAGATTCTCTGATTACTCAGAGCAAGATTACGATTGCCAGCGAGGAGGGGGCGAAGTCCATCGCCACCAGGCTTGCACGCTCTAGGCCATAAGCCTTAAGCCCTATAGTCAAATCTTGCCTCTCACAGATTCTTGAAGCTTTATGTCATCCTCGAACTGTCATCATCCTCAACCTCAACAACCCAAGGCCCCGCCCTTCAAGTTTTACCCGGGCGCTTGAGGGGGTTCCATGCTAGTTGTTCTGCTCCCAAAAATGTTTTTCGGTGTGAGAAAATATAAATATAAATATAAATATAAATATAAATATATATACATATATATATATATAAAGATGTACACAGATACAGTATACATATTTATCACATATACATAAATATGTTTGGCAAACAAGCAAACATAAAATAATGAATAAGTGTTAGAAACCCAGTCGATCATGAATAATTAAATAGATAGATACATCAACTATATGTATATATATATATGTTTGTGTACATATATAGATATATGTGTATGTACATATATATATATATACATATCTATATCTCTCTCTCTCTCTGTATGTATGTATGTATGTATGTATGTATGTATGTATGTATGCATGCATGCATGCATGCATGCATGCATGCATGTACTTACGTATGTACGTATGTATGTATGTATGTATGTCTCTATGCAACACACGCACACACTCACATGCAGAGCCGGACCCACTGCAGGCCCATTATCACGCTGTACTGCTTATACCAGTCAACCCAGCACCTGAAAGGCTCAAGCGCTCGATCCCCAAACTTTCCAAGGCCAAAACAACACTCCAGCCTCAAACCCTGAACCATAAACCCCAATACCTAAAAACCTCAAACCCTCAAACCCTTCGAACCCTTCAAACCCTAACCATTCAAGCCTCAGACCCTGAAGCCCTTCTGGTCACTGTGCTTGGCCGAGGCTGCTACGAGCTCGCCGATTACCACAGCGAGCGACTGGAGGAGCCCTGGCTCCATCTCCTACTGGATCTGTGCCTTCAGCGCCGGCCTCAGTGGGGCAATTCCTCGGGCTTTTCCAGGAAAGTTCTCCAATTCAGGGCCAGGGGATGGTGGGGAAGTTCTGTTGCTTGGGAGAGGGCGGGGACAGCGCTTCACTAGTCGTTTGTCAGCAGACTTCCCCAAGAGTCTATGATGCTTCCGAAACCTTAAACCCCAAGAGATGGGTTAAGAGATGGGCTGAGGCAACAACCAGTACCAGATCGGCGAAGAGCCTCTCCGGCCGGAATTGGACTTGTACATCCTTGACATGGCAACCCGAACTCAGGAGGAGAGTAGAGGTAGCGTCTAACCTTTTGGGGGAATCCCAAAACGTTTCTCAAGGATAGCCTTCAGTTCTGCTTGATACTTGACAACTGAGCGAAGCCCAGAAATGTGGCCCTTGCTCGGTGAGCTAGCCTGCTTGAGGTCAGTATGGCCCCCACTCACCCCGAAGTAGAACGACCCCGTTGAATTCCGATGACCAACTTTAGCACCCGAAGGAAACCCCGAAGCCCTTGATCCAGATCTCAAGCCGGTTCCTCCATGGAGAAAAGCCTGCGATACAGCTGGGCAGGCATGCCAATGAGGCCACGACGCTCTAAACTTTTAACCCTGAACCCTAAACCAAAGCATGCGGAAGGACAAGGGAGTGACACAGAAAAACACCCAAGCAGCCGGCCCACGAAACAAGCCTACGCCCCTGCGTCTGAGGTTGGGGACCTCCCACGAGGATTCGTCGTTCTACCTGGCGCTTCACAGTGAGTGGGTGGTGGGCACTGTCATGGTGCTGGATGAGCAAGCTGACAGAGTTGAGACATGTGGCTCCAGGGCGAGGATACAAGATTGAAGGTCGCAGGATTGTATGCCATTGTAACAATCACAGTTATTATCGCTACCATCTACGAACAATATTAACTATAACAATGATGGTAGTAATCGTAGTAGTAATCGTCGTAGTAGTAGCAGCAGTAGTA